TTTATTTTATTATAATATCTTATTAAATCATCAATTGATCTCATACTAAATTATCTCATACACGTTATTATATTAGCAAAACGACACTTATAATATGACATCTCCTTTTGTCTTTAACTATTTTTCCGACAATTTGATAGAAGATTTGTTTTGTTGTTGAAAGTTTAGATAATTTGAAATGAAAATAATGTATTTTGTAATATGACAATTTAGAAATATTACCTATTTTAGTAAGACGGTTTTTCCTTTTTGTTATTTATTCCATAATCTTTGTTTAAAATATATATTTCTTAGTTTCCTATTTCAATTTTTTTGTTAATATTGACACATGTCACAATCTAAATTAACAATTACATGTGTCTTAATCTGGTGAGTAAGAATTTTGTCTACGTGTCATGCTCTCATCGCGTGCATCTATATTTATAATTGTGAGGTCGAAAATCCTACGTGTCGTCTTCAGAATGAGTTTAAGACTTGGTTTGCCTATATTACCGTTAATGAATCGATATAATTACATATTCATGCCATCGACTAATTATTATTAATATAAATTTCGTTTGGTCCATTTATTTTTTTGTTATAGATTTTGTTTGGTTCATTAACATTAATAAAATATTTATTTGTTTGATGATATATTCAAGTTTGATGATTATCTTGGCTAATATAGAAATATTCTTATTTACGGTGATTCAACTAGATTTTATCACATTGGATAAACTCTAACTTTTTTGGGTATATATATATACATTTGTTTCCTCTTCCCATTGCATAAATTATTTTTGCTTTGCAATTATTATTTGTAGGTGTTATATGTTGATGTCTTTCTTACGTATGGTGGTGTATTACGTTGTTTTGTTTGTACCATGAAAATTATCTAATTGTTTTGTTGTTCTTTGTTTTCTTATTCACAGATTGCCATGTACAATTCTTCTATCTATTGTTTTTTTTTTGTTAAAGTACTTCGATCTATTGTTATTCTTCATATTCTTACTACTAATTTCCTAATTTTCGTTAGAGTTGGTTTTATAGTGTATTGTATTTGTATCATATTGTTTCTTAATCTAACAACAGTATCAATTACTAATGATTTCCATGTTGTTATTTTTTCAATTTTTGTGTTTGTTCTTCGATAGTTTCGTCATGATATCGGGTACGTAAATTGCGCTTCTACTATTTTAGTTTCGTTAATTGTATATATATAGAGTTTTACTCAATATTCATATATAAAAAAAACTCTACAAAGGGTATTATCCTTGAAAAGTTGGGTAATTAATTTGTGGTATAATAACTATACCGATTAAGTTTTTGACTTTGTGATTGTCTTAAAAATTTTGTCTTTAGTAAGTACCCGTACAAGATCCATATTTGGTTGATATTATTTTTTGTTTAGTTTATTTATTGTATTTTTAAGATAATGCTGGTGTTTTATCTATTATGGCCATATATACAAGGTCTCATAGGCAAGAAATTGTTTTTTAAGGCTAAGGTTTGAGAGGAAAACTTGCAGGGTTAATATGCACCGTACAAGATTGATAAGTTTTGGGGTCAAACGGATGTGATTGAATCCTTTGCGTCTAGCTTTAAAACAAAGGTAGTATCTTTTCGTATGTAGTTTATATCTAACAAAGAATAATTTTAAATATGTTAGAAACGATTCATTATTTACTTTCTTCTATTCTATATGCAGATCTCTAATGTCATGGATGTTGTTAATTAACTATGACGATATTTCTATAAAATTAACAAACCAATCATAAAATGGCTCATATTTGTATTTTTGTGGATGACAAAAGGTTAAAATCGAGTCATCCGTTTAGATTTGATTTGTTATATGTGATTGATTTAAACATATATTTTATGTATTTTCAGACATTGGTTTTACATTTTTAAAATAAGCGGGTTTCTATAAATTGTTCACAATATGCATGTATTGGTGGAAATACGTAAGAATAAACGTGATTGTTAAAGGTAGCGTTCATGATTTTATGCAAGTGGACCTGTAACATGATTGGATAATACTATTATCATGAGAATCTATGTAGTGTTCAAGAAATAATCAAATATACGATATAATTGTTTGATCAATAAGGCACAAACAAACAATAATTATATTAAACAATGAAGAACACATACGGATAAACCCTTATAGTAAGTGTATAAACAATCATAATCAATAAAAGCCCTTACAAATATAATTATTTATCAAAACCTTATAGTTATTTATCAATCGCTTAGTCTCATATATTTATTTGATGAATTTTAAGTTTTCTACAAATATAAATGGTATAACTATTAAAATTTGACTGAAAACTTATTTTCTGAGAAAATTAAATATTATTTGAAATAAATTTAAAATTAATGATATGCGATCAAATGATATAGATGCTGGTATAAAGTTATATGAGAAGGATAAGTGCAACGTGAGTATAAAACCACCCGCCAAAACTAACCAAACACTACATTTACGAACTAGATTTCAGTATAGCTTAGCTTAATCGAACCATAGGTTTGTTTGGTTTATTAGGGTTAAAGATTTTCTAGGATTAAAATTTCCCTAAGATTAAGGTTCTCCACACTTAGGGTTTAGTTCCTTCTAATTTGCCAAAAAATATTATCTCTTAATATATTTTTGAGTATAGTTTTAGATGTTTAGTCTCATATATTTATTTGATGAATTTTTAATTTTCTAAAAATATAAATGGTATATGTATAAATTTTTATAAATTTAACGAAATACTTTTTTCCTATGAAATGCATTTATGGGTAAGGGTTCGGATGGGTAAGGACTGGGACGGGACGCAGGTAAGGTCTGGAGCAGGGCGGATAAGGGTTGGGAGGGATACATGTAAGAGCTAGGAGGGATGGGTAAGGGTTGAGAGGGAATACATGTAAGAGCTAGGAGGGGATTGGTAAGAGCTGAGATGGGATACGGCTAAGAGACGAGACATATGGATAGGGGTACAAACCGTGTTTGTTAATTAAAATAAATAATTGATTGGATTAACTTACAATCTTAGAATATTATTTTTGTTATTCATAAGAAGTTTTT